CCCAAACCCTTTTATGACTCTATGAAAACACGCGGAGCGACGTAGCTGTCTGCGATTGTTCTGTGGTAGGAAAAGGCGTCGGTGGTTTTGTGGTTCCTCGTATGGTTTAGGAATGAGATTCTGACAAACCATTTGCTCCGGTTTGCTGATGGGGAGCACGGTTTTGTTTCAACCATAGAGTCATGGGATGGTTTGGGTTGGAAGGGACCTTAAAGATCATCTAGTTCCAACCCCCCTGCCATGGTCAGGGATACCTTCCACTAGACCAGGTTGCTCCAAGCCTCATCCAGCCTGGCCTTGGACACTCCCCAGAGACTACTTTTACTACATGGTGTAGAGCCCTCCTGGTAGTCCCGAAGCTCAGGTGCTGCCTCTGGGTTTCTCTAATGCCTTTGTGCAGTTTCCAAAGGCCTCTTGTTCCTCAAAGTTCAGCCACTTCGGTACCTGAACGCAGGGTTCATCTCGACACTTCTCCTTCCTAGCGATCAGAAGCAGATCTACATCGGTGACGACAACCCCCTGACGCTAATTGTCAGCGCTCAGAATCAAGGGGAAGGCGCCTACGAAGCCGAACTCTTTGTCGTCGTTCCGCCCCAGGCAGATTTCATTGGCGTCGTTCGTAACAATGAGGTAAAACCCGCCGACTCCCTTCTCCGGGTGGTCACGGTTCAGGTGCTGCTGGGGAAATCTGCGGGAGATGGGCCCTGGGTGGTGTTTTCGGCGCTTCAGTCTGAAGCGTTTGTGCCATTTTGCCTTCCGGTCTTTGTTTTCCTACGGGGAGTTTTAACCCTTACCCCACTGCCAAAGTTTCTTCACGCGGGGTTTAAAGAATCACGTGGAGAAATGCTGTAGGGCACAAAAACCGTCAGTTCTACCCAGTGTAAAAGTGCTGAATTTCTGGTTTCATAACCTTGGAAAGACCGTCTATATCATATAAAAAATATTTGTCTCCATGGAGACCTTCACACTTTGATTTCACTTAATTTTAGTGCTTGGCTCTTAAGACTGAAAACTCCTATTCACATTAATAATTCAGCATATCCAGGGTTTTTTTCCAGCCTCTCCTTAAAGCCTGACGTTCCCCAACATTTCCTTCTGGTGTGTTGCAGGCTTTAGCAAGACTGTCCTGTGCGTTTAAAACGGAGAATCAGACCCGCATGGTAGTCTGCGACCTGGGGAATCCCATGAAAGCGGGAACTAAGGTGAGGTTCGCTCCCAGAGGTGGCTGGTAGCGCGGACAGGGGCGCAGCCGACCTTCTCCGTCACCGCAGCAGGGTGGGAGCAGGGATGTGTGCTCGCAGGAACGGAAGATCCTGCGCTTTGGTTGGTTCGGTGGTAATTGGTTTCTGCTCCAGCTAATTAAAGGCTGAAAGGAGTGTTAACGAGTGTGAGGATGCAACTCAGAAGGAGTAGTTTGTGACCAGTGGAACTGATGAACTCTGGTCCCTCAGCAGTTTGTCTTTGGCCTTACCCGAGACCTGGGTTTTAGCTCGTAACGCGCCTTCCTTTTAGCAGTAACCTCGTGCCGCGCTCTTTTTCGTGAAGTCGGAGAGAGTTTTGCCTAGTTGGGACTTGTGCTTCCACCAAACGTAGCTGAAACTGGAATTAGAAAAGTCTTAGTGGGACCTGGCAGATTGTAAGCCGATGCGACATCAGGAATCTTATTTTCTGAGGAAATAAAGTGAAAATCAGCTCAGAATTAGGAACGCTTCGGTGCTTTTCTTCCAAGAGACGTTCTGTACGGAGGAATAAATGCCGTTCCCGATGTTCTTTGTGGCCGCGCGCCCGCGGTGGTTTGGTTGTAGCATCACGGTGTGGGGGAGCTTTTATCCCGCCTTCCGTTGCGCCTCCGCTGAAGCGCGGTGATCCCTTCTCCTGCAGCTCCTAGCCGGCCTGCGTTTCAGCGTGCACCAGCAGTCGGAAATGGACACCTCTGTGAAGTTCGACCTGCAGATCCGAAGGTACGGGAATCTCTGCGCGTGCCCGAGGGGACAGACTGCGAACGGAGCGGTTGGTTTCGCTCTGGACCGGTTCTCCGGTCTGTGCCTCGTAATTGTGTGAAAAATCAACCCGTGTTTTAATGAATTGTGTTTTCTAGACCAGGGGAAATGATGGAGGAAAACACAGTTTTGTGTTGAACGCGGCTTCTTTTGTTTATGGCATTTAGACAGGCCGTGGCAGAAGTGACCTACAAATAATGAGGAACAAAACCATTTACAGTGTTCCAAAACTTGGTGGTTTTGTAGATGATTAGCGTTGCCACCTCCAGCCTCTTGTGCAGTGCCACGGGATGGCTTCTGTCCTTACTAGCCCTGCTTTAAAACTGGTGTCTGAACGCCGAATTCCTACTGCTGCACAGCCAGGCTGTTGAAGGTGCTGGTGTTTGGGGCTGAGAGGTACCAGCCTTGCGGAAGAGGCGCCGCTCTGAGCCGGAGCAGGGCGCAGCGCTGTACAGCAGCCAGCGCAGAGTCTGAAAAGGGAGTGGAACAGAGCAGGAGCGTTGCTGTGCATTAAGATGGGCACAGCAGCACTTCCATATCAGCGAGATATAAACGTGAATTTATACCTGCTGGTGATTTGGGGATGTGATCAAGAATCCCTTCACCAGTACGGTTTTGGGTTGCCTCATGGGCAGTACAGGTGCAGCTGCTTTTTTTTTTTTTCCTCACAGACGAAAAGCTGCTTTGTTTGGTTTTTTTTTCTTTTTCCATTTAAGGCCTTCATTTTTTTTTCCATGTCGTGCATAAATTATTCTCAGCCACGTGCATTTTTCATCTACACGAGTTAAGCGAGTTGAAACCTGCCCCTCTGTTTTCACGGCACAGCCGTTGGCCGGGCTGATCCGAGGCCTCGGCGGCATCACACACCCCTTCGACCTCACGTTGCTGTCTGGTCGTTTTTTCTCTCTTCCCCGTCGGTGGGTCAGCTGTGCCCGTGGCACGCCACGCCGGTTCTTCTCTGCAGCCGTCCCCTCTGGGGTGTCTGTCGTTGCCTTCAGCTCGCGGCGGTCACCAGCTGCCTTTCAGTGGGCGGAAGAGCAGTCGGTGGGGTTGCTTAAGGCCAATCCCAGCGGGACAACTGGTCGCCGGAAGGGTGAGGTGTTGGCAGGCGGAGAAGGAGGCGCTGCTGCACGTATTTTGGGATTACAGCAGCAGCGGACAAGTCCCTGGGCAAAAGGGATGCCCGGGGTGCAGCCGCTAGCCCTCTGGTTGGCGTTATCCCGCAGTGCTGGCTGGGGGACCCCCGAGCTGTGCTGAGGGTAGGAGTGGCCGGCGTCTCCGGGAGGGCCTGCTGGAATGCGCTCCTTAGCTTCCAGCAACCGTGCCTTCCCGCGGCGGCTCGGGAGTCGCCCCGTGGCGTTACGTACGGTTGTTCCAAGCTGGGTTTGGGTTTTCTGTGCCGCTCGTTTCACTGCAAGAAACTAACTCTGCTCTCCTCCGCAGTTCCAACCTGTACGACAACCTCAGTCCGGTGGCGTTCTACCGGGCCGACCTGGCCATTTCGGCAGCTGTTGAGATTCGAGGGTGAGCGCCGTTTTAACGAACCGCTTTCCGAAACGGGCTTTGCGCGTTCGCTTCTCTCGTTCAGCTCTGTCAGGGCTGCCCCCGTTGTCAGGAAGGCTTCGGGGATTTGTGGTCTCTCTAGCTCTCCTTTGGACTTGCAGATCTTGCATAATTCCGAGTGATTGCGAAACTCATTCCAAAAGGAACGTTGTGCCTCTGTTAGTAGAGCTTTTGGAGGTTGGGAGGGGTGGAAATCGCCCCGCGTTTTTGGAGTTGCACACATTTCCCCAGATCACTTCCCTCCTCCGCAGCAGGCTCCCAGAGCCCCGGCTGATTCTTCCCAAAGCGCGGGCTGAAGGTG